AGATCAAACCTGCAGACATGGATTAAATCAGCTGAGAGGACGATGACATCATCACGCTCATCATTTACCTCATCATCTACCTCATCATCACGCTCATCGTTTACCTCATCATCTACCTCATCATCACGCTCATCGTTTACCTCATCATTTCACTGTTAGTCTGAAGAGAAGTCACATTTTAATTCATCTGAACGACAAGCTCATCCAACCATCATCCAACAATAATCCATCCAACCATCATCCAACCATCATCTATCATCCAACCACCATCCATCCAACCATCATCCATTATCCATCATCCAATCATCATCCATCCATCATCCATCATCCAACGATCATCTATCATCCAACCGTCCTCCAACGATCATCCATCCAACCAGCCATCATCCATCATTCAACCATCATCCATCCAACAAGCCATCATCCATCATCCAACCAACCATGATCCATCAGCCATCCAACCAGCCATCATCCAACCCTCATCCAACCATCATCCATCCAACATCCATCATCGATCCAACCATCCATCAGCATCCATCCAACCATCCATCATCCAACCATCATCCATTCAAGGAGGAAAAGAGGAACGATGTGGGGATATTAGTAATAACTGCTATATTAGAAACAGAACAGGATGTAAATCTTATTTAGTTTATTTCTGGGTTAAAATTTCAGAAAATTAAAAAAAACAAGCAGAATTTAAATTTCATAATATCAATAACATATATGAGAAGAATATCAGGAACAAATGCAATCATTTTTGTAAAAAAAAACAAAACTTTAATAATCTGATCATAAATATCATGGACAGAATTTCTAGGCGCAGCCGAGGTGTTGAGGGGATCCGTTTTGGTGGTCTTAGGATCACATCTCTGCTTTTTGCAGATGATGTGGTCCTGTTGGCTTCATCGGAACGAGATCTGCAGCTCTCGCTGGAGCGGTTCGCGGCCGAGTGCGAAGCGGCCGGGATGAGGCTCAGTGCCTTCTCCGGGTCAGGGGGGTCGCCCTGTCTCAAGT